TAGCAGCCACCCAGAGTATTCTAGTGACTGCATAGGAACCAATAAGAACATAGCAACAATCTAGCAACTGCCTAGGAACCACCTAGATAACCATAGCAACCTTTACAGGACATGCCCCGCCCCTTTCTTCTCATTGGCTTTTCATTATAAGTGCTTGAGCTAATCCACTCTCACTGGCAGAGCTGTTTTTTTAAAGGGGAGGAGCTACCCTATGCCCCACCCCTTCTTAATGTTTTAGTTCCAACTACGACACAAATTGAGCAAAAATGCACACTTCAAAGCACTCGATGGGGCTTCTAGTTAGAGTGTAGTGTTTCTGTTTCAGAATGTTGCCGGAGCGCATTTACTTAAAGGTATTTTTACAGTAATTTACGTGTCAGTATTTTCACAGCCTCTTTTCACATTCCTGGAAATTTCGGCATTGCATCAGTACTGGTGGATTCGTCATCACTCATTTAGTCATTAAATTACAAAATGGGCCCTTTTGAACAAATTCAAGCGAGTTATTGTGGTATTAGAATTAATGGTACACTCACTGGCCACTTTATTAGGTACGCCTTGGTACCAGGTTGGACCCCTTTTGCCTTCAGAACTGCCTTAATCCTTCATGGCATAGATTCAACAAGACTCTGGAAATATTCCTCCATGTTGACATGATAGCATCACACAGTTGCTGCAGATTTATTCACTCAATCTCCATGATCTCCCATTCCACCACATTTCAAAGCTGCTCTATTGGATTGAGCTCTGGTGACTGTGGAGGCCATTTAAGTACAGTGAACTCATCGTCATGTTCAAGAAACCAGTCTGAGATTATTCACACTTTATGACATGCTGCGTTATCCTGCTGGAAGTAGCCATCAGAAGATGGAGACACTGAGCTCATAAAGGGATGGACATGGTCAGCAGCAATACTCAGGTAGGCTGTGGCGTTGATGCTCAATTGGTACTAATGGACCCAAAGTGTGCCAAGAAAGTCTCCCCCACACCATTACACCACCTCCACCAGCCAGAACCGCTGATACAAGGCAGGATGGATCCATGCTTTCATGTTGTTGAGGCCAAATTCTAACCCGAGCATCCGAATGTGGCAGCAAAAATGGAGACTCATCAGAGCAGGCAGCATTTCCTCAGTACACATTTTCTCTTTTTTGCACCATTCTCTGTAAACCCTAGAGATGGTTGTGCATGAAAATCCCAGTAGATCAGCAGTATCTGAAATACTCTCAGACCAGCCCGTCTGGCAGCAACAACCATGCCACATTCAAAGTCACTTAAATCCCTTTTCTTCCCCTTTAAACTGCAGCAGATCGTCTTGATCATGTCTACATGCCTACATGTATTGAGTTGCTGCCATGTGATTGGCTGATTAGAAATTTGCATTAACGAGCATTTAGAGAGGTATACCTAATAAAGTGGCCAGGAAGTGTATATAACTCGCACGCAGTGCTTAATGAAAACCCTGATGAGAAAAGCCGCCTGATGATCTTGCTGGATGTGAAAATGCAGATTTGTTGTTCTGTCTGCTCTTGTGTTTAATAAACTCTCTGCTCTGTGTAGTTAAAACAGCATGGCGGGTGGATTTGATTCGGAGCTGCTGATTGGCTGGAGCCGCTGCTCACTCCTCCAGATCTTTATAGGGCTGTTTTACACCACAACATGTAAAAATGCAGAGTGTGCTGCGCAGTATGAGCTGTAGGAAGAGTTTAATGTAGTATGAACTGTATTTGTTGCAGAATATGAGCAGAAATGTGTTTTTAGTGAAGAAGAGAAAAATGTGAGACGCTGGAATGAAGATGAACTGGCCACTCTTTTAAAATAAGACTAAAATAAATGCAATTAATTGAAGCTAATATTTTAATATACTTTAAATAATCATTAGTGCTGTCAAAAGATCAGTTGCATCCAAAATAATGCTTGTATTTACATATATAGTATAGTATTATATTTATATCTAGTTCATATTGTATATACATGGACAATTTTGTTTTTTCTTTATATATATATATATTTACAGAGTACAAGTACATTATGTAAATACTAACTTTTATTTATCAATTAAATATTTATATCTAATACAAATTATATATAAATATAAACGATTTTGGTTTTGTATTTTATATATGTTTAATTTTGTATATACACTATATTTATACACAGTACATTATGCAAATACAGACTTTTATATTGCATTAATCGTTTGACAGCACTAATATTTATAGATATATTAAGTTAATTAATGCAGAGCACAAAACTGATAATCGAGCACACTTTCACTTCAGCATAATGTAGAAGAGATGCTTTTGCTTTCACATCTTTGATTTGTTTAAACATCTGACGTGTGTATTGTTCAGAATTATGGCTATCAGCCATTTAAGGCAGGTTATAAGTCTTTTAGAGCTTGGCTATTGGTCGTTTAAAGCGAGGCTATTATCATTTATGGCGGGTTATTTCTATTTTAGGGCTCAGCTATCATTATTTAAGCCAGGCTATCAGTGCTTGTCTTGTTTTTGTCCTGCTTTCGTCCATTCATCAGTCTTGTTAGCAACACACATCTTCCAATCGGTTCACAAAGTACAAAATCATGCACCGTTCGACTTTTTTTTGTAATTTCAGGTCCGTTTCCAATGAATATTTGTCACAATATTTCCCAGAGATGGGTTGAGGCTGGAAGGGCATCCGCTATGTAAAAATGGAAGAAAAAAAAAGGCTGGATAAGTTGGCGGTTCATTCCGCTGTGGCGACCCCGGATTAATAAAGGGACTAAGCCGACAAGAAAATGAATGAATATGTTGCAATATGGTAAAAAATGACAATCTTAACTTCCGTTTCATCCTGACATTTAGGTTTTGACCTTTAAATCGGCCGCTAATGTTTATAGTAACCCAAGCAGAGTGTTTGTGTGGGCGGACCAGGGTTTTTGTGGATCTCCAAGAAGATGGATGAAAAAGGAGAAGCGGCGTGCATTATTCATCACCGCTGCGCTTCATCACACTCACTCCAAAAACTCCTTATCAAGTCAAGAGTTACAATCTTAGTTTTAACCCCAAAAATCTTGTTTTGAGAATACAATACCATGCAATATCAGGTTCTTATGGATTATTATGATTAAGATGAAATATTTTCTCACTTGGTTATTAAAGCTTAATGTTTGCTGTTTCACCTAAAAATGTAAGATTTAAGGCCAGTCTTGTGTGTTTAAGACTTTATGTTAGCTGTAATAACTTGTTTGAGGTTTACTTTAGCAATTAAAAATGCTCAATCACACTAATCTTAGTTCTTTAGGGACAAAATATAATCGTTAATGTTTCATTGCAGTAAGCTTTCATTGCAGCAATAAAAAAACCTTAAGATGGGTTTAAAACAATTAAAAACTGCTTTTATTATAGCCAAAATGAAACAAATAAGACTTTCTCCAGAGGAACAAATATTATAGAAAATACTGTGGAAAAATCCTGAATCTGTCCAACATCATTTGGGAAATATTTGATCTTTGACACTATCTATTATTTATGATTATTTATTAAACATCAGTGCTGAATAACTGAAATTGAAACACACATTGCCTAAAACGCGGCTCTCTGCACCTATCTACATATTGCAATATGAATACGGTTTTATTAGATGGCTTGAGTATCTCTATTTGGAAAACAAATCTTGTATTTATATTAATCAGGGTGATTTTGTTATGGTGTGAATCATGTATAAAAATAATAATTGTAAGCAAGTATAATAATAATAATAATAATAATAGAGCAAAGAATGAGTAAAATAAACAAATAAACTCTGCTTTATGGTATTCCAGAGTCAAACAGTATTAATATGTATGTTTAATATATATATATATATATATATATATATATATATATATATATATATATATATATATATATATATATATATATATATATATATATATATAGATAGATAGATAGATAGATAGATAGAATTAATATTATGTTAAAATAACACTTTATAGTCTTCGCTGTATTGGAAGCTGCGACCATTTGTTTTTCTGTATTGACCTTATTTTCCGCAGATGAGCGGGCGCTGCCATTTGAACCTTTTTGGCACGAGACTTCCGGTCTCATTCACTTCCATTCATTTTTAGACATTAAAAACTGCTCGTTTCCCTGTTTGATGTTGCAAACTGATATTTCCTTGTTATATTATTCTACTTGGTCTGTATAGTCATGCAAACATTTGTTTGTAGAGCAAGTAGTTTGACCGTTTTTGCCGTTTATTATTCCTTGTCATTTCTCCATTGGCGACTGAAACGGAAGTTCTAAGACAATCGCGAAAACAGGCGCACTTCCGCATTTTAGAATAAGGTCAATAGTGATGCAGCTCCTAGAAAAACTGAATATTAAATGAGAAAACAGTGGGAGTGGCTTGTTTTGCTCTACTGCGAGCTGATTGGATGTCATAAAGTAGGCATTTCATTCAGAAAGACGGGGAAAAGGGTTTGAGGAGAGTTATGACAGCCTAGCAGACGCCTCCTCCTCCTCACCATTTCTGTTTGTTGTCATAACTGACAGCTGGAGGGGCGTGGTTAAGTATGTTAACCACGCCCACTATATCTGACTGACCTAATCTGAGGATTTAGCTGAAAACAAAGAGGGAGTGCATTTTCAGATCTTAATTATTAGGCCAAACACTTGTTTCTTAATGACATGCACAGATGAATTGTTCATCATTAAACTAGCAATGTGAGCTGACAAAGTTAATATGGTTTGTTTTGATTTCATGGGGACTTTAAACTCTCCTCAAATGCCTTTAAAACACAAGCACAGGATAAAGTTTCACTCTGATATTGTTATACTTTGCAGTGACTCTACAAATCTCTTGTATTCTTAAATACTGTAATCCCAACTCAACATTGTGTATGCTGTGATGACTATTGCGCGCGCACACACACAGTGTGATATCCATGCTGAAGTGATATTATTGTGCAGCCCTAGTGTGTGATGCCTGACCTCTGATGTCTGTTTTCTCTGCAGGACATGGATCTGATCGATATCCTGTGGCGGCAGGATGTGGATCTGGGCGCGGGCCGTGAGGTGTTCGACTTCAGCTACCGGCAGAAGGAGGTGGAGCTGCGCAGGCGGAGGGAGCAGGAGGAGCAGGAGCTGCAGGAGCGTCTGCAGGAGCAGGAGAAGACACTGCTGGCTCAGCTGCAGCTCGACGAGGAGACCGGAGAGTTCCTGCCGCGCAGCACACCGCTCACACACACACCTGAAGCAGACGGAGGAGGAGCGGGAGAAATCACACAGGTACACATGCACACACAGCAGACAATGTAGAACCCACACAGGTACACATACAAACAATTACACACACATGCACAAATAACACACAGATCTATCCTGTGAGATTTGACACAAATGCCCAAACATACACACACACAAACATACAGGAACACACACAAACAAAGCAGACAATACACACGTACATACATTCACAAGCGCACACACAGATGTACAAATACACACACTCACCCACACATGTGTATATATATTTACAGAAGCACACACGCACATAAATACACACATACATGTACATAAACACAGTTGCACGCACACACAAACACACACAAACAAATATACACAGATGTACAAATACACAAACTCACCCACCCACACACACATATTTATATATATAGAAGCACACACACACACACACATACATGTACCTAAACACAGTTACACGCACACACAAACAAACACACACAGATGTACAAATACACCCCCCCACACACACATATATATATATAGAAGCACACACACACATAAATACACACATACATGTACATAAACACAGTTACACGCACACACACACATACTCACACAAACAAACACACACAGATGTACAAATACACACACTCACCCCCCCCCCCACACATATATATATAGAAGCACACACACACATAAATACACACATACATGTACATAAACACAGTTGCACACGCACACACTCTCACACAAACACACACAGATGCACAAATACACTCACTCAACCACCCACCCAATCACCCACCCACACACACACACACACACACATACATATACATACAGAAGCGCACACACACACACTCACTCACTCACTCACACAAACAAACACGCACAGATGCAAAAACACACACAGTAGCAGATGGTAGATAACTCACACAGGTTCACACATACACAACAGATAGTGTAACATTCACCTGTACACACACAAACAATTACACACAAATACACACACGGGTGTTTAATCATACACAGATGGACAAATGCACACACACACACAAACATACATGCACATAAACACAAACACACATTCACACACAGTCGCACACATACAGACTGATTCAATGCACATGTCACACACAAAACATACACCCACACAAACACACATATATATATATATATATATATATATATATATATATATATATATATATATAAAATACTCATCTACATACATCTACACAAATCCACTCACCCACACACATATATACACATACAAACACACACATACACTCACCTTCACAGTACAGGGCGCAGCTGCAGGGTTGCTTGGAAACCCATGCAATGGTTTAATTACTGGAAGATACGTGATGAGGTGATTCTACGAACTGGGAAGCTAATAAACTCGCAAACACTCCCAGTACGTCACGGATAGACCACAAAAGAGCTCGATTTCCCAGAGGAGAAAAGACAGGTGTGTGTGTGTGTGTGTGTGCAGATGGACTACGTGATGATAGTCTTGTATGAAGCGAAGTGAGTTTTATTTTAATAGCCTCTGCGTTTAGAGGAAGCCAGAATCCAGACGTCCATCCATAGATTTTTTAACAATAACTGGTAGAAGACTGTCTTTAAATGGGTGGCTCAGTGGTTAGCACTGTCGCCTCACAGCAAGAACATCGCTGGTTCCAGTTTCAGCTGGACTAGTTGCTATTTCTGTGTTGGCGTTGGTGTTGCTTCGGTTTCCCCCACAGAACACATGCGCTGTAGGACAACTTAATTGGCCGTACTGTATGAGTGTGTGTAAGGGTGTTTCCCAGCACTGGGTTGCAGCTTTAAGGGCATCCGCTGTGTAAAACAAATGCTGGGATAATTGGCGGTTCATTCCGCTGTGGTGACCTCTGATGAATAAAGGGACTAAGCCAAAAAGAAAATCAATGAATGTCTTCAGGGCTTGTTGTAAACTCTGAGGTTGTAAAATGATTGTATTAGTCTAAATCGACTAACATTTGCATTAAAACAATCATTTTAATTAACAGAGTTACAGTGAGCGAAGTACACCAAAACAACTCTTTAGCTCCGCCCACTTTCTTGAAGCAAAACAAATGATGCAATCGATCTGATCTATATACTGTATATTTACAGATATACAATACAGTATATAATCTATAGGGAGCAATATATAATATATAGGGTGCATTTTAGCTTAGCATGTAACTACAAAAGAGTCAAGCTTTAAAAAGGAATATAATCGAAACTCTTTGGTCATTTTTGTGAGAGATGCTAATGGTCTAATCCGATTCAATGATCTATGCTAAGCTAAGCTAAAAGTGTTCCTGCCAAGTGGGTGTAAACTCTGGTCGAGCTTCAAAATGACCCTATTTAAAAATAATAATAAATAGCATTCCTTATATGGTGACGCGGTGGCGCATTAGGTAGTGCTGTAGCCTCACAGCAAGAAGGTCACTGGTTCGAGCCTCGGCTGGGTCAGTTGACGTTTCTGTGTGGAGTTTGCATGTTCTCCCCATGTTCGCGTGGGTTTCCTCCGGGTGCTCCGGTTTCCCCAACACTCCAAAGACATGCGGTACAATTGGGTAGACTAAATTGCTAACAAATAGCTAATAATTCTGACTTCAACTGTGTTTATATATATATATATAAATTGTAACAGTGAAGTGGATGCTGACAGCAGGGAGTGCGGATCCAAGCGCAGCGTTTATTAGTAGGATGGTCAGGCAAGCAACAGTCAACACAGGAGCAAACAGATGTATACGGGCAATCCAGAGTCGAAGTCAAATAAACAGGCAGATGGTCAATACAGGCAGTCAGCATACAATGTAAACAAACAAAGCAAAGCGAACAAAAACACGGCAAAGCAGGGGAAGGAAACCGCATCGTAATGTTCACTTAACAGTTCAACAAGACTCAGCAATGAAGTGTGTGTGTGTGTGCGTGCTGTATTCAAGTTCATGTAATCAGTTCATAACGATCCTCCGGCTGTGAGAACGTAATCAGTCAGGATTAGGAACCTGTTGTGTGTGTATGTGTGTGTGTGTGTGTGGTGGATGGCTGGATATTGTAGACGATAAATGGCGGAATTGTAGTCCGTTTTGCAATCTGCACCCACTAGATCTCTGATAATCATAACATATATATATATATATATATATATATATATATATATATATATATATATATATATATATATATATACAGTGTAAGTCAGAATTATTAGCCCTCCTTTGAATTATAATTTCTTTTTAAAATATTTCCCAAATGATGTTTAACAGAGCAAGGAAACTTCCACAGTGTGTCTGATAATATTTGTTCTTCTGGAGAAAGTCTTATTTGTTTTATTTCGGCAAGAATAAATGCAGTATTACATTTTTAACACAATTTTAAGGACAAAATTATTAGCCCCTTTAAGCAAATTGTTTTTGAAATCAGGACCATCGATTTACAATGAGTTGCCCAATTACCCTAAGCTGTCTAGTTAACCTAATTACCCTAGTGAAGCTTTTAAATGTCACTGTAAGCTGAATACTAGTGTCTTGAAGAATATCTAGTCTAATATTATTTACTGTCATCATGACAAAGAGAATTCAGTTATTAGAGATGAGTGGAAAAAAATAAACAGGGGGCTAATAATTCTGACTTCAACTGTGTGTGTGTATATATATATATATATATATATATATATATATATATATATATATATATGTGTATGTATAAAGAGTTAGATGCTCTTTGTTAATATTTTTTGTTTTTGCTGTTTTTTTCTTAGTAAAGAAATAGCCGGATGAGGTGGGATGGGGGAGAAAACTACACAAACTTGGGTTGCCCTAAAACACAATCACGCTAAAAGTCGACCTTTTGTTGAAAATTGTAACTCAAATTGATTTTGAAGACAAATCCAATGCAAGAAGCAGCATTTGCATGTACAGTTAAAGTCACAAAAGTATTCTCCCTCGTGTGAATTTCTTTTTTAAATATTTCCCAAGTGATGTTGAACAGATTCAGGAATTTTTCACAGTATGTCTGGTAATATTTGTTCTTCTGGCGAAAGTCTTATTTGTTTTATTTCGGCTAGAGTAAAAGCAGTTTTTAATTGTTTTAAAGCCATTTTAAGGTCAATATTATTAGCTCCCTTCAGCAATATTAGTGTTGGATTGTCTCCAGAACAAACCACTGTTATACAATAACTTGCCCAATTACCCTAACTTTACCCTAATTAAGCCTTTAAATGTCACTTTAAGCTGAATACTGGTGTCTTGAAGAATATCTAGTCTAATATTATATGCTGTCATCATCATCAACTGTGTTTCTCCTGCTCTGTGCGTTAATGCTATAGTGTTATTGTGTGTGTGTCTTTGTGCAGAATGGGGCTTTTGCAGAACAGGAGGCCGATCCCATGTCATTCGATGAGTGCATGCAGCTCCTGGCTGAAACCTTTCCACTAACAGAGCCGGCTGAGGTAATTATGGGATATATATATCACCCGTATACAATAACAGCACACACCTTAACGCAACACAACACCTCTCATGTCTAATTGTGCTGTGCGTATGTGTGTGCAGTCGGCTCCGCCTTGCCTGAACACCTCCGCTCCACCTTCCACTGATCTCATGATGCCCGCAGACGTCCCGGCGTTTACCCAGAATCCTTTGCTGCCAGGATCTCTGGATCAGGCCTGGATGGAGCTGCTGTCACTCCCAGAGTTGCAGGTATAAACATAAAGACCTTCCCTTAACACCAAAAACTGTTAGTACAACATACATATTTTATGTTTACAGTGTAATTGAAGCATATGTTATGCTACAGCTTCAAATAAACATCTTATATGCACCTTCAAGGTCCCATGAAATGAAAATAAAAAGTTTTTTAAATGTTAGAATCAGTGTATTTTTTAGTTTTTAGGATATCTATAAGCTGGTGCACACCAAAAAAAGTGGCAAAATTCATGCTGCAAATATATATATATATATATATATATATATATATATATATATATATATATATACATATATATATATATATATATATATATATATATATATATATACATACACATACACACATATATACATACACATACACACACACATATACAGTGTATATATATATATATATATATATATATATATATATATATATATATATATATATATGTATACATATATATATAGTAAATGACATATTGTAAATAATGGCATTATTGTGCACATGTAAAAGCTTTAACAAGCTGTTTTTAACCTCTAAAAACCAATGGAAGTGAATGAGAGCAGAAGTCTCCAGCCTAAAAGATTTTAATGGCTGCATCTGCTCGTACGTGAAGAATAAGGTCAATAGTGTGCCATTTGGGACTCAACTATCGTCTCGATTGTTGTTCAACACGCATAAATATGTTCAAATCTCTGAAAAGTGTGGTGGAGGTGACACTTTAGAGAGAGCGAGAGGCTGTGAGGTATTGTTTGCGTGCACTGGTTTATTCCACCTGTGGTTTACAGAGGAGCAAACAACAGGGTTACTGAGCAACAGTCAAATGAGGCTCTCTGAGCTCACGCTGTGGTTTGACTGGCAACCTGGGACGTGCACCTCACTTGTTTTTGGTTTGGATTGAACAAGTTATATATGTATATCCTGGATTCTTCATAATGATCAAATTGAGATCTTGTTGAGTTTTATGCATATTTTTGTTAACAACATTCAGTTATTCGGTATCAGTTAATCAACATATCTCAATATTCAGTAGTAATCCATCAATGATCAATATACAGTTGAAGACCCCCCCCCCCCCCCAAATTTCTGTTTAAGGGAGAGCAGATTTCTTCAACACATTTCTAAACATAATAGTTTTATAACTCATCTCTAATAACTGATTTATTTTATCTTTGCCATGCTGACAGTAAATAATATTAGACTAGATATTCTTCAAGACACTTCTCTACAGCTTAAAGTGACATTTAAAGGCTTCACTAAGTTAATAAGGTTAACTAGGCAGGTGTAATTAGGCAAGTTATTGTATAACAGTGGTTTGTTCTGTAGACTATCGGAAATATATAGCTTAAAGAGGCTAATAATATTGACTTTAAAATGGTGTTCAAAAAATGTATAACTGCTTTTATTTTAGCCGAAAAAAAACAAATAAGACTTTCTCCAGAAGAAAAAATATTATCAAACATACTGTGAAAATTCCCACGCTCTGTTAAACATCATTGGGTTAATATTTAAAAAAGAAAAATAAATACAAAAGGGGTTAATAATTCAGACTCCAACTGTACTTGTTTAATACAGCATGGGTATCTAAAGGTGCTTTCCAAAATGACAAGATGCAAAACACCAGTAGTTGAACTACAGTTAATGAGAGGTTTAAGATGAGCAAACAGCGGCATCAAGATAAAAGTATATCAGTAAGTTATATTCCACTAGTTTAATAATGATTAAAGAAGATCCAATAGATAATGCATGCAAGTGTTCAGGAAAGCTCCAAGAAAAAGACCAATTACAGCTCATTCATGCAGAAAAAACATGAACAAAATCTACAATAAAATATATCCATAAGTTAAGAGTTTCAACATATGACTGTGGTCAGTATTTGTGAGTGCACTGGACTCTACAGACTGAAGCATCAAGCTTTCCTGCTACCTAGCAGAACAAGTGTGGCAGCACTCAAAGCCCAATCACCCAGAAAGAGTGGAAAAGTCTTATTGGGGGCAGTTCACCAACAAAATCTGCCAAAAAGAAATACAATAATTAAGTGCTTTCCATATTTTTCAACTTAATTTAGGCTTTTGAATTGCATTGTGAGACTTTAATCTATTTTCCAGCAACTTTTGATGTCAAAAAGTGACTTTTATTGACCTTTTTAATAGTGTGAAGTGATATACTGCATGGGTGTGTGTTGTAAATTACAGCACAAACTCCTGGTAATAAACTGCCAGTCATTTATCTGTTATTTTACGCACTTAACTCTCTCTGTATTATTTCTTACAGAATATATAGAGTGGGAAATAAGTATTGAACGTGTCACCATTTTCAGAAAACATATTTTATAAAGGTGCTGTTGACTTGAAATTTTCACCAGATGAACAACCAAATAAATCCATATGTGCAAAGAAAACAGCATTAATTAGTTTAAAAATGATGTTATGCTTGATAAAAGTAAGTATTGAACACATGAAGAAAGGGAGGCGTAGTTCGGCAGTGAAAGCCCAGACAGCAGCTGAAATCTCTCAGTAGTTCTTCAGCAAGCCTCTGCCCTTCCTCAGTGTAAAGGAACATCAGCTGCTCCAGTCCAACATCTACATTAGCAGGAGGATGAAGATCAAACCATTTCAGCAAGACAATGATCCAAAACACAGCCAAGGAGACTCTCGGATGCTTTCAGAGAAAGAAAATCAAGCTGTAGAATGGCCTGCCAATCACCTGATCCGAATACAATAGACAATACCAAATAAAGCTCAGATTTGATAGACGAGACCCACAGAATCATCGAGATTTAGACACTCTGTTGAAGTCTGTGAGAAACTCACACCTGAGCAACGCATGTGACTTCATTCTCCATATGAGAGGCGTCTTTAAGATGCCATCACAACAACAGCCTTTACATAAAGTGTTAAATACATTTTAGTACTTTCTCCTTGTGTCATTCCATTGTTATTAAACATAATTTTTTATGTTTGTATTGTTTGGGTTTTTACCAAAATCTGCTTCAAATTCCTTGTCAACAGCTTCTTCTGAAAAATTATTCCCAGAAAAAAAACGATGTGAATACTTTCCCCCCTACTGTATATACTATTAAAATGTTGTTAGGCGTCAGACAGACAGTTGAGAGATGAGCAAGATAACTTGCTGTTGTGATGAACAAGATAACATGCTGTTGTGATGAACAAGATAACATGCTGTTTTGACAAACAACACATATGTTTAGCTCATAGAGTAAGGCATGTGGACTGTTTTTGTGCAACATTTCTATTTATCGATGTCTCACGAGTTGTGTGCTTTTTCTGATGGAGTCGGAGTGAACTCTTATAGTCTCACCAACTATTCAATTCATACTTATTTTCATAGCGCTTTTACAATGGGGATTGTGTCATCATAGACGTTCCAGTACATTGTAGCTGAGTCAGTCCAGTTTAGTTCAGTTCAGTGTGGTTTAATTTTCACTGCTGAATGTCCCAACCAGGGCTGTCCAAACTCGGCCCTGGAGGGCCGGTGTCCTGCATAGTTTAGGTCTAACTGCCTTCAACACACCTCCTTGGAAGTTTCAGAATAACTAGTAAGAGCTTGATTAGCAGGTTCAGGTTTGTTTATTGGGATTAGAGCTAAAATATGCAGGACACCAGCCCTCCAGGACTGAGTTTGGACACCCATGGTATGGAAAATTAAACCACTGAAGAGCAAATCCATTGATTCGCAGCTAAGAACAAGCAGTCGAGAAGACAAACAACAAAAAATATGCTATTATTTCTTCATCCTCCACTTTCTCGCCCCATTCACACGTGGCTTCTGTGTCAACGCTTGACTGAAGGCGTGTCTGAGGTTGGGGCTGACGCGATCGTCATAGCAGCATCAGCCAATGAAATTAAGTCAGCAATAGGCCACTGTCTTGCTGGTGTATTTGCATACAGCAATCTGATTGGTTGACCCTTCCATCGGCGCCTGAAAAGTTTAGCTAGTCCTAAATTCTGCTGAGAGCAATGCCTATGATTCGCTTTGGTCAATTGGTGAAATTAGTTCCTCACCAATGTCGCCACTGGCTTGCTTGGTTTGGGACTTGTGGAGCTGCGCGTCGATGGATTTGCTTATCAGTGTTTGGACTCTCAGCAGTGAAAATGAAACCACACTGAACTGAACTACACTGAACTTCAACTCTGAAAACTGGACTGACACCGTTTACATTTACTAGAATCTCTATGTGAAGCTGCTTTGACACAATCTACATTGTAAAAGCGCTATAGAAATGAAGATGAATTGAATATGGATGTCAGTGGACTATCGATTCATTTTTGAGTGAACTATCCCTTTAAGTAAAATTTCTCCTTTTGTGGTCTGAAAAACTGAGGAATTACAGCAAGTTTTTGATCTATATGAATACGCTAAAGTATTTAAACGTATTCATATAGTAACCCACGTTTGATTATGCTACTAATGCACAACTCACTAATAACAACTTACTAATAATAACATCTTATAGTTTTGCGCTTGAGCGCCTCCAAGTGCTGTTGCCGCAAAAGTGGCAATCTGATTGGTGGAGAAGGTTTTGCCGTTTTGCACGTTGGTGTGCATGATCACATTGGTGCCCTTTACTTAATCGACGGAAATGCAAGCAAAAAACGTCTCGGTGTGCACGGGCCTTAACTTTCGCAATGCAGCAGGTGATTACGATTGTAGCTTGTCAGAATTTACGAACATGATACAAATATCACACCAAAACATATCAATATAATATGAGAATCAAGTTGAGTCAAAAACGAATGAGTTAAACGTCATGTGATAGGTTTATAAACCCATTTTCTAAAATAATAGTTAATTACAAATGTAAACAATTTGAAGCATTAATTACGAAATAAATAATCCCGATAAGAGGAATACAATTGTAGCTTGTAAGAATCTCCGAACATGATACACACCTTAAAATAGCAGTTGTCATAATATACGACAATCTAAGTTGAGTTTAACGCAATCTGTAATATGTTTAGTATTCCTAAATCTTTCTTAACTGCTAATGTAAACAATTTGTAGTGTTAATTTCTAAATTTTCCAGTGGTGCTTTAAAGTTATTGCGATAATGGTAATACAATTGTAGCTTGTCAGAATGTATGAACATGACACAAATGTTACAATGTAAGATATCATTGATCGCAGATGAAGAAATTGTAAAAACTATGAAACATGCTTGGTGATTCTCCACTAGGTGGCGATCTGAGTCAATTGGTATTATCGCCCGCTAGTGGAGAACCATACAATTTTAGAGATGTTTTGAAACCGTTATGACGTAATGCAGACTCATTTAATGACATCATGTGATCTTGCAAAATTAATACACGATTCGAACCACTGACTCGAAACAAAAGATTCATAAAAGTTCGAAAGTAGTCGCATGCAGTGCGAAAAAATTAAACTGAAATGACACTTAACTGCAAGCGTGAACTATTCGTAGCATTATTTTAGAAATTTCTCAGTGGTGTTTTGACGTGTTTGCAATTTCTGCCTCATGACGTTTTGCACTTCTATTGGTTCTTGGTTTTATCGTTATCGTAGTTGATGTCGCACTGCAGACATGTGTCTGAAAACTTCTGACAATGCCAGAATTTCATTGTTGAACAAATTATCGCATTATGCTACTAATACACAACTCTTCTGTCTTTTTTTAGCAGTGCCTCAACATGCAAATGCAGGAGACGTTGGATATGAATGCATTCATGAAACCTTCCACAGAAGCACCAACCCAAAACTACGGCCAATATCTACCCGGGATGGACCATCTCGGCTCGGCTCAAACAGAAGTGTGTCCTCCTGAATTCACCAACACCTATAATGGATCCTTCAACACTATGGTGTCACCCAACATGAATCAACTGAGTCTGAACGTCCCGGATGTGGGAGCCGAGTTTGGCCCTGAAGAATTTAACGAGCTGTTTTATCCAGAGATGGAGGTAAAAGTGAACAACCCTCCGATTACATCAGATGGCGGAAATATGGTCGGCGATCCTCCTGTAAACCCAATAGATCTACAGAGCTTCTCACCGGGAGATTTCAGCTCAGGGAAACCAGATCCAATCGTGGAGTTTCAAGATTCTGACTCGGGTTTGTCCCTAGATGCAAGTCCTCACATGAGCTCTCCGGGGAAGTCCATAACTCAAGACGGATCATTCGGATTTAGTGATTCTGACTCGGAGGAGATGGAAGGAAGTCCGGGAAGCATGGAGTCAGATTACAATGAGATATTCCCATTGGTGTACCTCAACGATGGCTCCCAGACTCCACTCTCTGAGAAATCCTCGACGGAGAAACAAGAGATGAAACTGAAAAACCCAAAGATGGAGCCGGCGGAGGCTAGCGGACACTCCAAACCTCCGTTCACCAAAGACAAGCTGAAGAAGCGCTCCGAGGCGCGGCTCTCCCGTGACGAACAGAGAGCGAAAGCCTTGCAGATACCGTTTACCGTGGATATGATCATCAATCTGCCCGTAGACGACTTTAACGAGATGATGTCCAAACACCAGCTCAACGAAGCCCAGCTAGCGCTCGTTCGGGATATCCGCCGACGAGGCAAGAACAAAGTGGCGGCGCAGAACTGCCGCAAGCGCAAGCTGGAGAACATCGTGGGATTGGAGTACGAGCTGGACTCGCTGAAGGAGGAAAAAGAGCGTCTGATGAAGGAAAAGAGCGAACGCAGCAGCAACCTGAAAGAGATGAAGCAGCAGCTGAGCACGCTCTATCAGGAGGTTTTCGGGATGCTTCGAGATGAGAACGGAAAGGCTTTCTCGCCTAACGAATTCTCCCTTCAGCACACCGCGGACGGCACTGTTTTCCTAGTTCCTCGCCTTAAAAAGACTCTTGTGAAGAATATCTAGCTTTGTCCTTCCTCCTTCTCTCTTCCTCTACACTTTGCTTCTGTTTTTTTGGTACTGCTTTTCTCTTGCTAACACTGTGTCCTGATCAGAAGTGATATGAATGCAATAAAGCGTCAAAATCGGCGACAAAATTGGACGAACACTAACACGGGTTTTTTCAAAAACGCACTTTTTTTCGAAAAAAATTAAAAAAAATAAAAAGTCATTATCGCCGCCTGTTGGTTCGGAGGCTCTTAACATCGTTTGTAAAAATACCCATGTAAGTGTGGACATGGCCTAAAACAACATCTTATTATAGTTTTGCGCTTGAGCGCCTCCAAGTGCTGTTGCCACAAAAGTGGCAATCTGATTGGTGGAGAAGGTTTTGCACGTTGGTGTGCATGATCAGATTGGTGCCCTTTATTTAGTAAAGAGGCAATAAACATCGACGGAAAACACGAGCAAAAAACGTCTTGGTGTGCACGGGCCTTAACTTTCGCAATGCAGCAGGTGATCGTAAGGTGATTACGATTGTAGCTTGTCAGAATTTACGAACATGATACAAATATCTCACCATAACATATCAATAGTTATAATATGAGAATCAAGTTGAGTCAAAAACGAATGAGTTAAACCTCATGTGATAGGTTTATTAACCCATTTTCTAAAATAATAGTTAATTACAAATGTAAACAATTTGAAGCATTAATTACGAAATAAATAATCCCGATAAGAGGAATACAATTGTAGCTTGTCAGAATCTCCGAACATGATACACACCTTAAAATAGCAGTTGTCATAATATACGACAATCTGAGTTGAGTTTAACGTAATCTGTAATATGTTTAGTATTCCTAAATCTTTCTTAACTGCTAATGTAAACAATTTGTAGTGTGAATTTCTAAATTTTCCAGTGGTGCTTTAAAGTTATTGCGATAATGGTAATACAATTGTAGCTTGTCAGAATGTATGAACATGACACAAATGTTACAATGTAAGATATCATTGATCGCAGATGAAGAAATTGTAAAAACTATGAAACATGCTTGGTGATTCTCCACTAGGTGGCGATCTGAGTCAATTGGTATTATCGCCCGCTAGTGGAGAACCATACAATTTTAGAGATGTTTTGAAACCGTTATGACGTAATGCAGACTCATTTAATGACATCATGTGATCTTGCAAAATTAATACACGATTCGAACCACTGACTCGAAACAAAAGATTCATAAAAGTTTGAAAGTAGTCGCATGCAGTGCGAAAAAATGAAACTGAAATGACACTAAACTGCAAGCGTAAACTATTCGTAGCATTATTTTTGAAATTTCTCAGTGGTGCTTTGACGTGTTTGCAATTTCTGCCTCATGACGTTTTGCACTTCTATTGGTTCTTGGTTTTATCGTTATCGTAGTTGATGTCACACTGCAGACATGTGTCTGAAAACTTCTGACAATGCCAGAATTTCATTGTTTAACAAATTATCGCATTAATCAGCTGTTGGTGAACATTTCAAACCAATGATCAAAGAACACAGATTTTAGAATAGGATTTAGTCATCTTAGGATTTCCAAAATTGTAAAAACTTTGAAACATGTTCAGTGATACTCCACTAGGTGGCGATCTAAGTGAAATGGAATCATCACCCGCTAGTGGACAACCATTAAATTTTTGAACTTTCATAACAGTTATGACGTAACGAAGACTCGCTTAATGAAATCAAGTGATCTTGCCAATTTAATATGCGATTCGACCACAGACTCGAAACAAAAGATTCATAAAAGTTTAAAAGTAGTCGCATGCAGTGCTTAGAGAAAAATGAAATTGAAATGACACTCAACTGCAAGCGTAAACTATTCGTAGCATTATTTTTGAAATTTCTCAGTGGTGTTTTGACGTGTTTGCAATTTCTGCCTCATGACGTTTTGCGCTTCTATTGGTTCTTGGTTTTATCGTTATCGTAGTTGATGTCACACTGCAGACATGTGTCTGAAAACTTCTGACAATGCCAGAATTTTATTGTTGAACAAATTATCGCATTAATCAGCTGTTGGTGAACATTTCAAACCAATGATCAAAGAACACAGATTTTAGAATAGGATTTAGTCATCTTAGGATTTCCAAAATTGATCACCGATGAAGAAATTGTAAAAACTTTGAAACATGTTCAGTGATTCTCCACTAGGTGGCGATCTAAGTGAAATGGAATCATCACCCGCTAGTGGACAACCATTAAATTTTCGAACTTTCGTAACAGTTATGACAAAACGAAGACTCGCTTAATGAAATCAAGTGATCTTGCCAATTTAATATGCGATTCGACCACAGACTCGAAACAAAAGATTCATAAAAGTTTGAAAGTAGCCATCACCAGTCGCATGCAATGATTAGAGAAAAAAAAAAAAAAAAAAAAAAAAAAAAAATCGCAACTGGTTTGGACACAGTGTACATCTTACGCAAAGGAAACAACTAAATAGGAGCGTATTTTGCTTATACAACGACTGTTGAAACGGCAGAACTATTATATACGTTTTGCGTATTCTACTTTCCTAACATTCTTAACCTCCGTTGGATTTTGTACTCCTTTATATTTTTCTCTGAGATTCTTTTACCTGTATGGTTTGTAAATACATTTATACTTTATTTGCTATCGAGATAGGAATAAACGTACTGTATATATATATATATTAAAAGAAAAGAGATCACGTTTTAGTAAGCTAAAATTGTTGTGATCATTTTAAGTCTGCACTTAAGTCGGTTTTTTATATCTTAATTTACTATTCTACTGCTGTTTTACCTCTTGACTCTATGGCTTTATATGATAAATAAATAAATATTTAAACCAGTGACGTCTAACGCAGTGTTCAATGGGAGTGTGTGTGTGTCTTAATGAAGTGGACGGTTCATTGACATCAGCAAATGAAAGGAAAGAGGATGTGGATATTAACAGGAAGGAATAAGGAAACCACATACAAATCACTTAAATGCCAAAATGTCACCAGATATGGCTGAAAGCTGAAAAGGGAAGTGTAAAACAGCTTTACTGTATGTAGTAAAATGTGTCCTGTTACACTATTTTTATTTACTTACTGAAAACAATGGCAGTAATCTGCAGAAGACGATACTGTATAGAGTCGAAGACAATATTATCAATCCGGCATATTTACAGTAAGGATGATTTCATTACAGAATCATCCCAATGCTACACCCAAACACTAATCAATTATACATTATTAAATCAATTCTTTAAATCTGAAAATATGTTTTAAACTATTTGAACTGTAAATGTGAGATGATCTTCCATTATTATATGTTGTCTTAACTCCAAATAATGCTGGGTTGGTAAACTAAACGTCACACTAATTATTTTCCTTCGGCTTAGCCCCTTATTTATCAAGGGTCACCGTAGCGGAATGAACTGCCAACTATTCCAGCATATGTTTTAAGCAGCGGATACCCTTACAGCCGCAACCCACTACTGGAAAACACCCATACACAATCATTCTCATACACTACAGCCAATTTAATTCATCACTTCCGCTATAGCGCATGTGTTTGGACTGTGGGGGAAACCGGAGCACCAGGAGGAAACCCATGCCAACACAGGGAGAACATGCAAACTCTACACAGAAATCCACACAGACCCAGCCGGGACTCAAACCAGCAACCTTTTTTACACAACAGAAGGTTATGACAACCCATATATATATTATTTTATATTATTCCTTTTATACTCTTTCGATAAGAGTCAGAAAATGAATAAATAAAACATTTAATTTCAGATGTTATTCCACAAACTTGTTTTGATGAATATTTAATGGACTGCAGTAACATTAACATAGTATATTTACTTACATTCTAAATAAATGTTGATTTGTATTAACCCAATAATTTTTTTTACTTAATTCAAAGGTAAATAACAAACTCAACATTGAGTTTCTCCATATTTGACCCAGATTGAGTTAAAACAACCCCGTTTTTTTGTGCATATTTAGATTTTTTTATTATTTATTAAATTATTACTCTGGATAAAAGTGTCTGATGACTGTACACAAATGTTTTCTTTGAAACTTTACTTTAAGCTTTGAAATGTTTACTTTATCTCCCGCAATAACATTAATCTGGTTTAAGATTATAATAAGATGCCAAATACTGACTCTGAAGAAAGTCTAGTTTGGAAATTGGGTCAAATATTGACCAACCCAACAGTTGGGTTACAAAAAAAAAAAAAAGAATTGTAATGGAATGTAAAAAAAACTCAACATTGGGCTTGTCCATAATTGAATTTTAAAATGCTGGGTTGTATTAATCCAATGCTGAGTCAAATATGGATCAACCCAACAGTTGGGTTAAAAAACAAAATTTATAAAGTTTATTTCTTTGATTAATTTAAAAGAACAAAAATAAACGCAACACTGAGCTTCTCTATATTTGACCCAGATTGGGTCATAACAACCCAGTTTTTTTCTGTGTGCGTGTGCATATTTTATTTATTAAATTATTATTCTTTGGATAAAAGAGTCTGATTAATGTATAAAAGTACATTTTATTTGCACAAATCCTTTCTTTGAAACACACTTTTGATACATATATCATCTCCCTCAACAACATTAATCTAGTTTCAGAGAATTATAAGATGCCAAATACTGACTCTGAAAAAAGTCTAGTTTGGAAATTGGGTTAAATATGGACCAACCCAACAGTTGGGTTAAAAACATCATTTAAAAAGTAAATTTCTTTACTACTAATTTAAAAGTAAAAAAAAAATACTTGACATTGAGCTTCTTCACATTTGACCCAGATTGGGTTACAACAGCCCAGTTTTTTTGTGTTTTTTTTTGTACATGTTTCAACATTTTATTATTATTTATAACTCTATATAAAAGTGTCTGATGAATGCATAAATGAACATTTTATTTACACAAATGTTTTCTTTGAAACACACTATTACTTTATCTCCTGCAATAACATTAATCTAGTTCAGGAGTATTATACGATGCCAATTAATTCTAGTTTGGAATTTGGGTAAAATATGGAAAAACCCAAGAGTTGTGTCAACAAAAAACATAATTTAAATGGAATGTAGAAAAAAACCTCAACATTGAGTTTTGTCTATAATTGACCCAATGTTAGGTTGACTTTTAAAATGATGGGTTGTATTAACCCAACACTGAGTCTAATATGAACAAACACAACACTTTGATTAAAATATATATTAATAAATAAATGGAGTTTATAAAAATAACTCAACATTGAGTTTGTCCATATTTCACCCAATGTTGGGTTGAATAGAAAAAAAACTGCTGGGTTGTATTAACCCAACACTGAGTCACTTTGATTAATAAAAAACCGTAAAAAAAAAAACAAAACAAAAAAAACAGAATTTTAATGAAATGAAGAAAAAACTCAACATTGGGCTTGTCAATAATTGAATTTTAAAATGCTGGGTTGTATTAATCCAATGCTGAGTCAAATAAGGACAAACCCAACAACAGATGGGTTCAAAAATACATTAGAAAATATAATAAGTATAATAGTAAATGTAATAAGTATATTTCTTTACTTAATTTAAAAGTGAAAAATTGAACTTAACACTGAGTTTCTCCATATTTGACCCAACGTTGGGTCGAATATAAAAATGCTAGGTTGTATTAACCCAATGCTGGGTCAAATATGAGCAAACACAACAGTTGGTTTGAAAAATGTAAATTGTCTGCTTCTCACTTAGGGCTGTTTATGCTAATGAGGGAGATGTTGATGAGTGGGCGGGGCTTTCCCCCTCTGATGACATCATACAAAGGGAGAATGTCAATCAAAAAGTTTCTGCAGGCTGATTTTATCAAGTCTGATTATAAAAAATACTAATAATACATGTTTACCATTAGAAGCCGGATATATTCACACACTGCTGCCACACAACTGTGTTTAAACCCCTTATAAAGGTGATTTCTGAATAATAGGTGCTCTTTAAACTCAAATTACACTTCCTGTTTAGTATTTTGGCACTTTATAACACAGTACACACAAAAATAAATCCCATTTCTCCATAAGCCTATGAAGGAGAAAGTCTGTTTGTTGAAGTTATGCAACAGTGTTGTTCATTACAGGCCGACTGGACAAAGTGCAGCAATAAAGAGTGTTTGTTGGCACCATCAGACACTTTCACCCACACACACACACACACAGCACCTTTGAACACACCAAACCCTCTGCTTCACACACTACACTGCTTTCTCATTGTCAGCCAGTCACGCTACACACCAACAGGGCAGACCTGTTTTTACACAGTTTTTACACAATCCAGAGCTTAATGCATGACTTAAATTAACGACTCTGTGAATGCATGACACATGCACGACAACATTCAACTACTGAATGTCAGTTTCAACCAATAGTATACATAAATGAGTGATTTTTACAGTCTGGTCGTTAGTTGCACATTAAATGGAAAGTACACCCATGATTACAAACCTGTTTGAGTATCTTTCTTCTTTTTCCATGTAGAAATCTGATATATGCAAACATACACTCACCGGCCACTTTATTAGGTACACCTGCCCAACTGCTTTTTAACGCAAGTTTCTAATCAGCCAATCACATGGCAGCAACTCAATGCATTTAGGCATTTAGACATGGTCAAGATGATCTGCTGCAGTTCAAACTGAGCATCAGAATGGAGAAGAAAGGGGAATTAAGTGACTTTGACTGTGGCATGGTTGTTGCTGCCAGACGGGCTGCTCTGAGTATTTCAGAAACTGCTGATCTACTGGGATTTTCACGCACAACCATCTATAGGGTTTACAGAGAATGGTCCGACAAAGAGGAAATATCCAGTGAGCGGCAGTTCTGTTGGTGCAAATGCCTTGTTGATGAGGCCAGAGGAGAATGGCCAGACTGGTTCAGCTGATAGAAAGGCAACAGTAACTCAAATAAGCACTCGTTACAACCGAGCTCTGCAGAAGAGCATCTCTGAACACACAACACGGCCAACCTTGAGGCGGATGGGCTACAGCAGCAGAAGAGCACACCGGGTGCCGCTCCTGTCAGCTAAGAACAGGAAACTGAGGCTACAATTCACACAGACTCACCAAAACTGGACAATAGAAGATTGGAGAAACGTTGCTGCTCTGATGAGTCTCCATTTCTGCTGACACATTCGGATGCTCGGGTCAGAATTTGGCATCAACAACATGAAAGCATGGATCCATCCTGCCTTGTATCAGCAGTTCAGGCTGGTGGTGGTGGTGTAATGGTGTGGGGGAGATTTTCTCAGCACACTTTGGGTCCATTAGTACCAATTGAGCATCAACACCACAGCCTACCTGAGTATTGCTGCTGACCATGTCCATCCCTTTATGAGCACAGTGTCTCCATCTTCTGATGGCTACTTCCAGCAGGATAACGCAGCATGTCATAAAGCTCAATCATCTCAGACTGGTTTCTTGAACATGACGATGAGTTCACTGTACTCAAATGGCCTCCACAGTCACCAGAGCTCAATCCAATAGAGCAGCTTTGGGATGTGGTGGAGCTGGAGATTGGCATCATGGATGTGCAGCCAACAAATCTGCACCAACTGTGTGATGCTATCATGTCAATATAGAGCAAAATCTCTGAGGAATATTTCCAGTAGCTTGATGAATCTCTGCGATGAAGGATGAAGCCAGTTCTAAATGCAAAAGGGGTCCAACCCGGTACTATAAGGTGTACCTAATAAAGTGGCCGGTGAGTGTAAGTACTTATAGTTTAATTTAATCCCCTTGAGGCAATTCATTCTGACATGGTATCACTTAACACAAATAATACCGAGACTTAACATCAATTACACAAACAAAAATAATAAACA